TATATATCTATATATCTATATATCTATATATCTATATATCTATATATCTATATCTATATCTATATCTATATCTATATCTATATATCTATCTCACACAATGAAATACTACTTGGTGATGGAAAAGAAGGAAATCTTGCAACAACATGGATGGAACTGGAAGGTATTATGTGAAGTGAAATGAGTCAGTCAGATAAAGGCAGATATCATATGATTTCACTCATATGTGGAATTTTAGAAACTTAACAGATGAACATAGGGGAAGGGAAGGAAGAATAAGATAAAAACAGAGAAGGAAGCAAACCATAAAAGATTCTTAAATACAGAGAACCAACTGAGGGTTGATGGGGGTGAAGGGGTGGAGGGTTGGTTAAAAGGGTGACAGGAATTAAGGAGGGCACTTTTTGGGATGAGCACTGGGTGTCATATGTAAGAGATGAATCACTGGATTCTACTCCTGAAGCCAAGACTACACTGTACACTAACTTGAGAATAAAAAAAAAATAATAATAATAATAAAAAAGAAAAATAGGATAGAATTCCATTATAAAAAGACTTTAAAATCCTACCCTAGGAGAGCTCTCTAGTTGATTGACAACAGTTACCTAATTATAAGTGCATAGAATAAAATAGATGACAATTGAGGCCACACTTCGAAGAAAAAAAAAATTAGCTGCTTTTACTCAATATTCATCATGTGTTAGGTGATTTGCATGTTCATTGACTGATGAAAATAACTCAGTATGGTAGTTATTATTATCTCTATTCTTATTTATTTATTTATTTATTTATTTTAAAAAAGTTTATTTATTTAAGTCATTTCTACACCTAAATGTGGGCTCAAACTCAGGACCCTGAGATCAAGAGTTGCACACTCTTCTGACTAAGCCAGCCAGGTTCCCCATATTATCCCCATTCTTAAGTGAAATAATTTAGACTCAGAGAGGTTAAGAAAATTGCCTAAATCCACACAGCATAGATGGCAGAGTTAGCATTTAAATCTAGTTCCTTTAGCTTTCAAACTTTTCCTCTGACCATTCCTCAGAAATGTTTTTCAGTTCTCATGATAACATCTTCCGTTCCAATTTTATATCAACTAACACAATTTTAGGAGTGATTGCCATGTTACCTTTTGTCATGGCACTTGGCAATTGGACTTCGATGTTTTTATCTGGATCCTGAATTTTATATTCTGGGTAAATCAAACACGTTTACTTCATAGTTTGCAAAATGTTATCTCAGGCTGAACAGAGTCATTTCTGAATGCTTCTGAGTCTTGTACACATTTCTATTATTGCTTCTATTACATTGTATTGTAACCATTCATCTGCTTTTCCTCTAAGGCTATTCATACCTGAAAGCAGGAATTATGTCGGTAGATTTTATATTCTCATCATTTAGTATGGTGCTTGACACATAAATAAATGTTATTGAACAAAACCAATGCTTTTAGAAGAAAATTTTGGATTTGTTTCGGTACAATAGCAGATTCTTAGAAAACCCAAAGTTTCAAGCTACCCAAGATGGATTCACGGTACAAGCATGACAGCATTTCAAGTCCCCTCCGAAGGAAGTATTACTAAAAAATTGGTGCGTCACGCAGCATTCTCCAAAATGATCTCATGATCTCACTCTGGCTTGCTTGGACAAAAACTGGTGACGCTGGGGCTTGCTCTTCTCCAGGAGAGAAGGACTGGACTCAAACTCAACTTTCTGTAAGACTGGTGGCTTCTTCCTCCTGTCTGGAGGCCACTCCCAGTGACTTCAAGGTCACTCTCCTAGACAACTCTCATAAACAGTTAACACCCAAGGCCACACTGCTTGGTGCCAAGCAGGCTTTCATATTCTCTTCTGACAGAATTGCTCTCATAATTGTTCTAGAAAAGGAGAGAGTGATAAGAGAGTGTGGTCTCTCATTTAGAACTTTTACCCATAATGAATTCAGTACTGTGTCTGGCCCTAGCATGCTGTTCTGTGGGGACAGTGGGAGGATTGGGGAACTCATGACTTTTCTTCTTGAGGACCTCTGACTTTTAAGTTTCCTCAATCATTTAACTTGTGACCTTGTGAAATGTGTTGAGCCCTGGTTCATGTCAGGTGTCAAACATGAAGGTTCCTTATAGGATAATAGTAATAACAAGAATAACAACAGTGACAATAACATCTAACACTTAATGACAGCCCTTGGATACTTCCAGGTACCAGTTCTAAATGATTTACACGTATCAACTCTTTTAATCCTCACAATAACCCTATGAGGTAGGTACTATCGTTATCCCTACCTTATAGATAAGGAATGTAAACATAGAGAGATTTAACTTGCCTAAGATTGCACACCTAAAAATTCTGGCTTTGAGGGAGCCAAAGAAAGATTAAGCAATATGATCCACAAATGGTTAACAGACAGCAACATCTTTCTAATAGCTTTTTAAATGTATTCATCCAAAGATATATATATATACACACACACACACACACACACACACACACACATATATATATATATATACACATATATACACACTATATATACTATGTACACTATATATAAGAGTTAACAAATGAGTAAGAAATACCTCTGTCTTTTGGAAATACATATTCTGGCAAAGAAGACTGGGGAGTTTGAATACAGTAAATGCCAGTAGAACAGGGAGTTACAGGAGCATGTGGAAGGAGTGCCTAACCCAGTCTTGGGAAGGCTTCTCAGAGGAGGTGAGCTGGATCTTACAGGAAATGGAGAAGGTAGCAGGGTCAACTGGTCAGGCTGAAGGGAGGGAGATGTGACCTGATCAGGGAATGAAAGTAGATTCCTGCAGCTAGACTAGAATCTTCAAAGAGAGGAATGGTAAGATTTGAGGCTGGAAGGTTATGTAAAATTATATTTCTTGGGATCATGAATGATTTTGTATGCTACAAACGACTTTTTTGCAAAGGGTTTAGGGTTTTAGCAAGTAAATGACACCAGATTTGCCTTTGGAAAGCTTGCTCTGGCTGCAGTGTGGAGAGTGCACCTGGGATGGGGAGAGGTGGGAGGCCAGGAAGGAGGCTTGTAGGGATCCAGGCTAGAGATCAGGATGGCCTTAGCG